GATTGGTGCGAAACACAGAACCAGCGTCACTGTGCTTCAATCGATGAGTGTCTGTGCGTGTGGTAGCATGGCAAGCACTGTCCTGCGCCAGGCTGCGCTGCCAATGACCATTGATTGGTTGACGCAATTAGGCTGGCTTGTCACGTTAATGTGTTCTTGCTTTGTCAGTCTGCATCGCGACACAACCAATTCAAGTCAGTTGGCCCAATTGTGGGAAGGGCATCCACAGGCTATTGCACTCTTAAGTGGGGCAGGGGCTGACTGAACGGCTTCAAGCCTTGCGTTTTTCTGACTCGTCCTGCCATCAACCCACCCAATCATGTCTTCGTCAACGCGGGCATCTGCACCCACTCTTTGGTGGCAGCATGCACGGGCAGCACGCCCTGGGACCACCTGTTGAGGATTGAAACTGCAGCAAGGCGACGCCACCCACGGAGGGCACCTTGACGGTGGAGCACCCGGCTGGGCTTACGCACGCCGTTCATTGTGACCGCTCAAGAACTTGCCTGAGATGATTAATTGTGATGCATCTTACGCCACCCTAGATGACAAACGCTATCGATAGGGCTGAATGGCGGAATGCCCCGCTCCTCAGCAGCAGCAGCATCAGTGAGTCAATCAAATTTAGCCGACCTCAAGGCGACCTCATCCATGCATGTGTTGAAGTTGGATTGCGGTAGTTTTCAGCCACTGCTGCAAGCAACTGAGGGAAGGATGTTGTTTTGTGCGGGGTGGGTTCACAAAAGAGGGCCTGGAGTTTCGAGGGTGGGACAACATGCGATGATGATTTTATGGGCGCCCGCGCAGTCAGCGCACGCGCGTTGCCAACTCTGCCAGCGCGTGGTTGCCCCTTTGGTTTTTCGTCGCGTCTCCCGTGGCGTTTGAGACTGGCTCAGGCGCAAGGACCCTTGATTCAAGTTGCGACGCGTGTTGGACGGGAGCGTGTCAGAGCTCTTCTTGGCGCTGCAAGGCTGATTCCACCGCTGGGAGCAGGCCGTGGTGGTACCTCCAAGTTGCGGGCGCTGCAAAGATTCCACTGGGAGCAAGCCGTGGTGGTACCTCCAGGGGTGTCCACGCACCGTTTCTCGGCGGCGCTTCTGGCTTGCGTGCTGATTTTAAATCTTCCCTCTGACACTTCGGCTTTGCCTCAATTTGAAAGATATCTGTCTGCGACGCGCGGGAAACTGGGGACCTAAATGAGAGAGGAGTGAGTAATGTTTTATTATTAGTGGGGGAGCAGAGAGTCTCGCAACCCAAGATATGCGTCACAATTAAAAAACAGTTCCTGATTTGTTATTGATGGATTGCGCGTCTATGTGTGTATGTCATGCATGTGTGGAGGCAGTGTATTGGTGGATGCGATGTAATGTAATGTGTCGCAGTGTGATGTATGTGTGTACGAATCTGTGTGTTTATGCATGTCATGCAACGCAATGCGGTGTAAGTAATGCAAGTAACGTAATTAATGTAAGTTAGGCACGTGCTGCGCTGTTTTTCTTGTGTTGCATTGCGCTGTACTTATTGCATTGTGAGCGTGTCTGCACGCATGCGTTTCACGCATGTCCTGGGATGTCACCTGTGTGTTAAAATCGTTGTTTGGCGTCTGTGTGCTTTTCTAACTCAAGTTCAATTTCTTCACATGTTGTAACCCATGACCAATGGCACACCACGCGCCAGACTGCGCCTGCTTGAAACCCTTCTAGCGGTTGCCTTCAATGAAGGAGCACATGTGGCAACAAGGCGTTTGGTTGCACTGAGGCTACAGTTCTAAAAACAAACAGGTTCTACGCGCGTTGGTTGTGGCCCAACTTGAAGCATTCGCATGGTTTGCCTTGTGCATCATACTCTCTATGGTAGTTTCAAAAAGATAGAATAGGATGGAATATGTGTGCGCCCGTGACTTTGGCACACAACTGCATTTGTTGAAGGTTAGGCCAATGGCAGCAATGTCATCATGCTGCTAGGTTGCTGCTGGTTAGCGTAGAGAGTTTAGCTCACAGTGTCACATTTCTTGACCACTTGCAATATGACCCGCGATCTGCAAGTAACTCAGCATTCCCAGCCTAGTCTGTGCTGGTGAACTGAGATGATAGGAGTACTCTGGAAGGCAGGCAGCCAGCCATTTAACAAGCCACGGTTACAATTCTAGGCGTGACTGACGATCCTGATTCCTGATTCAGGTCTTTTTGCTCGATGCACCCTTTAACATTTGCTCAACGCACCCTTTAACATGTGAATAACTGCGAGCTCTTGGAGCCCCATGCTCCGTTGCCCCTTTTTTGATTTAATGATTCTCACGGTCGCTCCGCCGAGCTTACAGAGGCCAACGAGCGCAAGTGGCCGAGGACACCTTAGCCTGCAGAATTCGTAAACAGTTATGCAGTTGTAGTCTACTGTATCAGTTAGCAGCAGTTGGCTTGACTTATCATTTCACTTGTTGCAGTTATTTTTAGGTATTTCATTTATCCGAAAATGGGCATTTCTGCCGAAAGCATGTTAGCTTGAAAAAAGCTGCTAAAAGCATGACTACTGAAAACGCGCAAACGGTGACGTTGATATATGCGTTTATTTTGATTGTTCTGAGTTTTGTTGGAGTGTAGTTTGTGTGTGTTACTGCGCGGCTGAGCAGCGCATTTCGGCAATACAAAACGCTTGCGCAAGCGCTGCGACTCGTTTCACTCCAGGCACGGCAGGGATTCATCCGTCTCCCGCAGCCACCAGCACGGGCGCAAAACTTCCGTCACAGTCTTCATGTTGGCGCTGAGTGTCCACCGTGACGCGCCAGCTGAGGCTCGCGCCTTACAACGCAGCATGCGTACGCCAACTTGCAACACAAGCCGGGCGAGAAAAACAAAAGCGAAACAAAAGGCGCCAGTTGCATGCGTTGGTCGAAGCGCAGCTCTTGCACAATGAAGAAACGGCTGCCGTTGTCGCAGCAAGCTCGCACTACGCAGGCTTCGTGGCGCGTGCGGAAGCACATCGCCGTGAGCGGCCGTAACGCGCGGCAAGCGTGCCTCTTTGGCCGCAAGAGGTGTGCTGCGATCAAAGTGTTGCTGCAGGGCTGGGCGTTCTCGCAGGCCCAACTCGAAGACGTCGTGCTGATCAAGCCCGTGCACATGTGAGAGTCTCTGTGAGAGAAGCAAGCGCGGCAGAGACGCTGCGGGAATGCCTCCGCCGCAAAGTGGCCGACCCTTTCCGCAATGCAGTTCTTGAAGGCGCGATGCTTGGCCCCCATGGACTCACATCCGCTTTTTCTCCCCTGTTGCGGCGCTTTTGTGCTTCAATTGGCTCACCCCAAAGTCCTGCAAGCGGTCCCTGCCTGGTTTCTAATCCCTGCGATGTTTTCGGTTGGATTTTGTTGCAGAACCCCCGCCGAAAACAGCAACGTGCCGCGATGCGCCGTGGCGTTTGCCCGGAGCGCTGTTGAAGCGCCGCGGCCTTGTTTGCTCGAGGCACATTTATTTTTGGGCGCCCCGCGGAATGCACACGAAGCAGCTGCTGCCCGGGAGGCCTCATGGAACCAGTCGCGGCGAGCCACGTGTTTCACTTTCTATATGTTACAAACATGTTTGCAGATCAAGCGAAGGCTCCGAGGGAAAAATCCTGCTGCTGAAACGCTCGCCGTGGAAACCTGCGTGTTGCATTTTACAGACATCACATGTGAAGCGAAGGCTCTCATGAAAAAAACCTGCTGCTGAAACGCTCTCCGCGCAAAGCCGCGGCAACGAGTCCAGGTGTGCCTGAGACGTGGCCTGCAGAGTCAGCTTCGGGTTCAGCAGGGGCAGCTGCCAACAAAATTCCTGCCCAGCCAAATGTGGGCTGAGGACCGAACGCTCAATCAACCAGCACGCTTGTGAAGCACAGGCTCTGATGGACTCCTGCTTGTCAAGAACTCGCCACGTCAAATATGCTGGTGTTTCCATGACTGTACAGATTTTACAGACTGCCAGTTGCGCATCGCTAGCTGCTGTTTACGCAAAACCCGATGATTTGTTCTTGGCGAATATGTCGCGCCTGCCACGAAGTCCGTACCTGACCTCGCGAAAACGCTGCGCCTGCTGCGCCTGCTGCGCCTGACCTCGCGAAAACGTTGCGCTCGCGCCGCGAACTCGGCGCTTGACCTTCCGAAAGCGCTGCGCCTGCCACGAAATCTGCGCCTGACCTTGCTAACGGGCTGCGCCTGCCACACGAACTAATCGTGAGAAAAGCGCGCGTGTCCGTACCAATGGCCCCGGACCCGTCAACGGTCCGAGCATGGTGAACATAGTCCGAGCGCGCTCCGATTTGGCGTCACGACCAGGGCTAGCTTTCGAGCATCCCCAACAACCGAAACCTGAAGAAGACACTTTCCCCTCCCCCACCACATGTGCGTGCCCATGTTCGCTTATTTTTCTCTCGACATGTGTCTCAGAGAGCAAGCTTTCAATTCAGTCGCCGCAACAGGGAAGTTCCTTCTATACTTCATTTGCTCACTTGAGTCTCTGTAAGAAGTTTTTAGTTCACTTTCCTGCGCGTGGCTCAAAGAGGGTTCTGCTCGATGCAACTGTCACTTCACTCCAAGGCAAAGTGAGATTTTCCAATAGACAAACACTTGCAAAAATGCTCAAAGTTGCGACGATTGACGGAGCGGTCACCACAAGCACGAGGCTGGTCAACACCAGCAGCATCACCGGTACTCAAACAAAAGACTGCAACGGTCAACCCCTCCAACATCACCACCATTTTAGCTTAAAAAGCGTCAGTCTGTCAGCCCACGTCTGCCCAGGGTTGCTATCATGCGCGCAAACTTCCTTTCGCAATCACACCGAAAGCGAAGAGAATGAACGCAGAAACCAGACCAAAAGGTGGAGAAACACAAGAGCAGTGAAAGGGAAAGAGCGTCAAACTTTGAGCCAACCTTCACGGAAACGCACATCTTCGGCCTACTTTGGCGCATATTGAAGGTGACGGTTCTCGTTTTGTTTTCCATGCCTGGCGCCGTTTCCCCTTGGCTCCCCCACTGCACCCTCAGAGCGCACGCCCTTCAGCGCGCACCGCGTCAACCGACGGCCCTGACGGTGCAGCAGCAGAGCGCAGCGCCCTTGGCAATCCACCGCCACGTCTTGCAGCGCCTGCGCCAATAAGGCACCAAGGCAGATTTTTTAGCTGCGCAACCACACTCGCTCAGCTTAAGTCCCGGCCCTGGTGTTTGCCCCCCCTGCACCTGGCTTCGGCCCGTTAGGGCTTCGCTTCGGCGTGGCTGATGATTCTTCCTTTTCACCAGCACCAGCCTCACGCCCCTCTCAATACTTGCCACCCTTCATCCAGTCCCCAAGTGTTTGCAACATAAAAATAGTCTTTCTATAGCCTGCAGGCCCAAGAATAATATAGACTTGCCCGCGTTGAAACCTCCAGCAAACTCACACGTCAAAGCCAGCCAAAGCGCATCGGCGCATCGCGTCGACCGGCGAGCTGGCCCCCCTCTTCCCAGAACCCGCTGACCGGCGAACGAGGAACCGGCCAACCGGTGAGCCGGCGGACCGGCCAAATCCAGCCAACCGCGGCAAACCGGCTGACTGGTCAACCGGCCAACCACTACAATCTTTTCCGATCGTGAAAAAGATAAATGAGCAAAGATGGCTCGCCGAATGAACTATTGTAACCGAGGCTGTGGTAGGTATAGCCCGGAGACTGCCACCTGAAAAACTCAGGCCTTAGAGGAGCCCGGAAACAATTTATTTTTAGGCGATCCCCACAACAAGAATTTGACAGGAAATTTGGGGACCTACGGTTTTCTGTAACAACACTTACGAAGAAAAAGGCCAAGAACCAACTGTCCCCCTTTGGCCTGCGGGCGCCAGCACCCAAACTTCTTTTTTTTGTAGCCAAGTAAGTACCTACACATCGCTAATCGCACTTGTTTACTTTGCACCCTTGCTCGTAACCCTTTGGCAAAACCTCGGCGCGTCCCAGCACGCGCCGACGGAAGACTACGGAAGACGACGGCAACATACGGAACACTGGGGGAAGACTATGGAAGGCGTTGGGAAGACAACGGGAGACTACAGGAACTGCACGGAAAAGACCGTGGCTACGGCAACATTACGGAGGCTATTGAAGACTACCGGAAGGCTGCGTAAACAACAGTTGTCACATTTTCCAAATTGGTTCGGATTCGGGCGCTGCCAAGTTGTCGGCGCTTGGATGTTGTGGAATTGAGATAGACCCCGTAGACTACGGAAAAGAGTACAGGAAGACCACGGCAGACTACAGCCACACCACGGGAAGATTTCGGGAAAGAGAACGGGAACCTGCGAAAGGGTGTGAAGACTCCCCTCAAAATAGGTGAAGCTCCGCTCAAAACAGACGGGTGTCCTCCCAGCCATTTGGCAACCGGCTGACACTGGGACGACGTCGACAATTATCCAACGCAACTTCATGTCAGCCAAAATAGCACCCAGGCTTCTGGGGCGCTCGGACACAAAAGCCTCATACGGCTAGAGCGACCTTCCAGCGGTTGTCTTCAGCAGAAGCTGGACACTTGCTGCCGTCAACCGGTTCTGTCCCAATCAAGCTGGCTTGCCCCAGAGCTCAACTACATGTTCTAGTAACTTTCATCCATTGGAGGCTGCCCCTTGCGCTCCGCGCGTGAGGCTGCCTCGCCCTCGAGGGCATCGCAGGCGGGCGCGTATCGGAAGTCCGCGCTGCGGTCGGCGACTCCGCTCGTCTTCCTTGGAGATGCATTCAATACTCGGGACGGTGAAAGCCGTTCAAGATCAACCAAGCGTCAAGGAAACACAAGGGATGTCGACGTCAATCAACCCCATCAACATCCTATTCCCGCATTCTGGCCCTTTCAAATCCACTGTATCATGTTCAGCGCATGGTTCGTGAGCGCCGTCAGCTGATAAACCTGCTGAAGCGGCAACTGTAGGATTTAGGGCTTCTTGCTACAACTAAAATTTCTTTTCTGTGTAACTTTGATCCGTTTCTTTCCTTGACGTCAACACCAGCTTCAAGCAGAACTGATTGACAGGGGGTGTGATTCCCCAAACCTAGGATCCGTAAAACCATCCAAAATTGGCTGCCCAGCAACCATCTTTGGTTTACGCATGGTATTGCCTTAGGCCAAAAAAGGTTGCCCGGCTTCACGCCGTGCGTCGTCTGCTGCAGCTCCGCCTCGAAAAGCCCGAAGCGGCTGCTGGCCGCCAGCGACACGGCGCCGCCGTCTGCAGCGCAGGCCAGACGCTTGGGAGCCGCGCCGAAGGGCCACGAGGTCTCTATGTGCTCCTCGGACTTGGGCTCTCGGATTTGGGTTGTCTAAAGAAATTTCAAGGCTTCTGATAGAAGCTTTGGCCCTTGGAGATTTCGGCCTTTGCCAGCCCAGGTTCGAGCTCAAAGTTCACGCCGGGTCAGTCGCGGGAGTCAAGCTCAAACTCTTCAAGTTCGGCTTTGAGCTCGGGTTCTGCAGGGACGGGTTCAAGTTCGAGTTGCGGTCAGGAGCGGACGGCGAGTTCGAGTATGGTCGCTCAAGTCTTTGGAGCGGTCTCAGTCGCACAAACTGCCCAGTAGAAATGGTGGCCAGCAATTCTGTTGCGGACCTGCTCAACTGCACACTTCGGGAAGCACCTTTGGCGCTATCAAAAGTGGCCGTGGGGGCAAATGAAAACAGAGCTCTTTCTTTTTGTTCATTCATCCTCGGATTGTCGGGTTGGCCCGAGCCCTAGGATTTTCGAATTTGCTCTTCTGACCTCCTTTGGAGCCCCTTTTCTCACGGCCTCTTGAAACAGCTCTTCAACATGGATGGCCGGCCCCCTTTCGCGACCGGTTTCGAATCGCCATCGGTATTGAATCGAATCGGTTTCAATCAAAACGCGCAGATGCATTGTTCGGACCCGGAAAACGCATTCGTGACCCGTCGTTGTCCACCGCGTGAGCCTGAGCGGCGCCCTGCTCTTCCTACTACTTCTGGTACTACTACTACTACTACTACTACTACTACTACTACTACTACTACTGCTACCACTACTGCTACTGCTACTACTACTACAACTAGTACTACTACTAGTACTAGTACTAGTACTAGTACTAGTACTAGTACTAGTACTACTACTACTACTACTACTACTACTACTACTACTACTACTACTACTACTGCTGCTACTACTACTACTACTACTACTACTACTACTACTACTAAAACAACAACAACAATTAGAGGACCGGATAACCCCACATGTCTATGCTTATGAAGATGCGCCGCACTTACATCGATTGAGGATCGCAGGTTGTAAAAGCAACCTGACATAGACAGTCAGTCAGCAGCCAGATGCCTTTTTTTTGCATGCGCCAAGCTCTTCTGGGAAAAGCACCTCCCCAATAGTCAATAGTGGGTCGCGCGCAAGCAGCCTGTCATCGAAAGTCACGCTTGCAGCTGCGTGTGATCGCGGCAATACCAATAAGCATTGCTCGAAAGTGTCCAGCCACAAAGCTTGAGGTGTCTATGTGACTCCCACCAGCACTTTGGCCGACATTCTGTATGCCACCCATCTGGGAGTTCGGACCACTCCAAGGAGCCAGGGGAACCACTCCCAGGAGCCAGGTCGGGAGGACTTGCATTGCTTTTCACTTGCTGAAATCAAAATACGTCGCTTTATTTTGGTTTCCTTGTTTTGCTAGGCTTGCAGTCAAAATCTTCTCTGTTCTTCTGTGTTGCCTTTTTTCGTGTCAGTTAACCCTCTCAGTTTCCAGCGCCTTGCGCAAGTGAGGCTTGCATTTGGCCGGCCCAAAGTGCTTCATGAAGAAGCCTGCTGCAGTATGGGCTATGCTGTCAGTGGAGAGGTATCACGAGCGGTGGCCTCTCATACCGCTGGAAGAGTTGCACAAGCGCAGTCTTGGGCCAGACATCATCTCCGGTCAATCACCGGCTGCTGTTTGCTCTGAATGCGCTGATGCATTTTCTCCTTCGCGGCCACGCGTGTGCAAGTATGCTCTCGCCAATGATTTGTGGCTTGGGCGGCCTGACTCTTTGCTGTGGAACGACGACATGACTCATGAGATGCGCTTGGCTCTTGCAAGGACGGTCGCCACCAAAGTGGTGCTGCGCGCAGGTGGCGCTGCGCAGCAGGAGCCGATTTCCGGCCAACGACCGCGCGCAGAAAGCAAAGCCCAATCGCTCGCGCGGCTGCGCAGGCTTTTGCTGGTCCCAGTCCATAGCAGAAGACCGCAAGAGTTCCGCGTAGTTGCCCGCGTAGTACCGCACCTCCGACCCCGTGACAACTTGAGGACATAGCGACTCCATGCGCAAGAAGGCATTCCTATATCGCTGCAGCCCGCCATGCTGCGCATCGATGTGCGCAAGCAGCTCGCCACGACTCGCAAAGTCTGCGCCGCTGCAAAGCAAGCAAGGCTGTGCACCCAGAAGGACTGGCTGCTCGGGCCACTCTCTCAGCTTCTGATGCTCCTGTGGCAAAGTAAGGCTGAAAGCGTGGCGAAACCTTTGGAAGGGATTGTCCTCGTTGTTGATCTTGTCTGCGCGGGAGCCGTCCATGTTGGAAGACCACGAGGCTGCAGAGAAAGCAGTGTCTTGCCGAGCTCGTGCTTCACGGCCAGCGCGCTGATCTGCGAGATGCCGTTGCCTTTGATGACCGGCGCGATCTTTGCGGCTGTCCTGTCTGGCTTGCCTACTGGGATAGGGTCGTACTTACGCTGGAGTTATAAGTGACTTAGCACTTAGCTTGGACTTATAAGTAACTTATCTTGAACTTGGAAAAGCTTTGAGTTGGCAAACACATGCGTTTTGAAGCATGGCAGTGATGAAGCATTACGCGCTGGAAAGCACACATTTTCGTGTGACTCAACGCAGCAGGGCAGGCGCGCGCGCATGCAGTTTACGCTGTTTGCTCGCGCTGCTTCGCACGCTTGGCTCGATGGAGCCGGAGCATTTTTTGCACTGATTGACTCGGTTGAATTTTGTTGTGCGATGATCGTTTCTATAGCGGTGTCTCCGCTTGCGGCCGGTCCGCCTTAATATCGTCGCATGGGGCGGTTTCTCCGCCGGCGGCCGGTCCGCCCGTTTTGCTTTTCTCGTTTGATGATATATCATTGTAGCGGTGGTTCCGCTGGCGGCCGGTCCGCCAAGCTATTTTTGCCACGTTCATTTTTATTTCGACTTGAAGCGGTTGTCCGCTGCTGGTCCGCCAAGAATTTTTCGGCGTTGATTTGTATTTCGAGATGGCACTTGAAGCGGTGGTCTGATGGCACTTTGCGATTTTTTGCATGTTTGGATTGTGAGTGCGCGGATGAAAGGCTGCAAGACTCAATCAAGGCTCCAGAATCCAGACTGCTGACTGCAAACTCCACACTCCAGACTGCAGACTCCCGACTGCAGACTCCAGACTGCAGACTGCAGACTCCAGGCTGCAGACTTTAGACTGCAGACTCCAGACTGCAGACTCCAGACTCCGGACTGCGAACTCCAGACTCCAGACTGCAGACTCCAGACTTCAGACTGCAAACTCCAGAGACTCCAGAATGCAAACTCCAGACTCCAAACTGCAGACTCCAGACTGCAGACTGCAGACTCCAGACTGCAGACTGCAGACTCCAGACTGCAGACTCCAGACTGCAAACTCCAGACTCCAGACTCCAGCAGACTGCAGACTGCAGACTGCCAACTCCAGACTCCAGACTCCAGCAGACTGCAGACTGCAGACTGCCAACTCCAGAATCAAGACTGCAGACTCCAGACTGCAGACTCCAGGCTCCAGAACGCAAACTCCACAGACAGACTGCAGACTCCAGACTGCAGACTCCAGACTACTGCAGACTCCAGACTACTGCAGACTCCAGACTGCAGACTCCAGACTGCAGACTCCTGACTCCAGAATCCAGACTCCTGACTCCAGAATTCACAGACCCCAGAATCCAGCATCCAGACAGCCCCGCCACAAAGCCCGGAAAGGCCGGGCAGTTTTTTTCGAACTTAACAAAACTTAACTTAACTTAACCTGGGCGGGTCGTGTGGAGCCGTGGAGTCCCTATTGTAACTCAAGCAACTTAACTGCCAAACTTTCCCCGTGAGGCCCAGTTGCGTCACCACGACTTAACATAACTTAACTTGGCCCCGTGGCCGAATTCCACACAAAATGATCAGGATCCTGGAGTGAGGAGTCATTGTGGAGTCTGGAATCTGGAATCTCGAGTCTGCAAGTTGGCAGTCTGGAGTCTGCAGACTGGAGTCTGGAGTCTGCAGTCTGGAGTCTGCAGTCTGGAGTCTGGAGTTTGCAGTCTGGAGTGTGAGTCTGCAGTCTGGAGTCTGCAGTCTGAAGTCTCCGGAGTTGGCAGTCTGCAGTCTGGAGTCTGGAGTCTGCAGTCTGGAGTCTGGAGTTGGCAGTCTGGAATCTGGAGTCTGCAGTCTGGATTCTGGAGTTGGCAGTTTGGAGTCTACAGTCTGGAGCTTGCAGTGTGGAGTCTGCAGTCTGGACTCTGCAGTCTTTTTTCTGGAGAGTTGGCAGTCTGGAGTCTGCGGTCTGGAGTCTGGAGTTTGCAGTCTGGAGCCTGCGGTCTGTCTGGAGTCTGCACTCTGGAGTCTGGAGCTTGCAGTCTGGAGTCTGCAGTCTGGAGTCTGCAGTCTGGACTCTGCAGTCTGGCTTCTGGAGTTGGCAGTCTGCAGTCTGGAGTTTGCAGTCTGGAGTCTGCGGCGGTTTGGAGTCTGGAGTCTGCAGTCTAGAGTCTGGAGTGTGGAGTCTGTATCTGGAGTCTGACTGCAGTTCGAGCGGACCCGCCGCTGTGGATCTTCGCGGCTGGAGTGCAATCTGAGCGGGCCCGCCGCTATATGACCGGGCCCGCCGCGAAGTGAGTCTGCGCGGGCTAGCCGCGAGTGCAGAGCGTCTGCGCGGGCCAGCCGCGAGTGCAGTCTGAGCGGACCAGCCGCTGGGTGTCTGCGCGGGCCAGCCACGAGTGCAGTCTGAGCGCACCAGTATGCGCGGGCCAGCCGCGAGTGCAGTCTGAGCCGACCAGCCGCTGCCATATGCCGACCTGTCGTATTCGAAGAAAAAAATACGCACGCATCGCCCGGTGTAAGGTTTGGACTCGCGTTCAGCGATGTGCTTTGCGACACGTCAGGAGTAAAGCGCGCGTGCTTTTTTGCATGAGGACGCGCATCAAGACTCAGCGAGGCAAACTCGTTTTGGGGATTGCTCCGCAAACGCTGGATGCCAAAAAGCTGTTTTTCCTAAAATGGTGCAAAAAACTAAGTTCCAGCTAAGTTCATTCTAAGTCCCGGCACC